TATTTCTCATCCATGTCATATTACCGGAAAACACTTTAGTCAAGAATATCCTTTCAATTTCGTTGTCGCTGCCTATCCCGAGTACTGCAAATGATTCGGTTGTTGATCTCTCTTGATAAAACCTGCGCCGGGATCGTCTGTTACGTATCGAACTTGCGGCGACGTTACGTGCATTGTCTATCTTGAATGCAACATTGGTTAAATTTGCATATACAACACCAATGTGAAAGGCAAACCCACATTACTAAGTAACGTGTTTGTAGGACAACCAAAATGGAGAGTAAAGAGGGTTGACTCAGCCTGAAATAAGTGGAAAATTTCGTTTGAAAGTTAAAAATACTTTCACGACGTGTTTATTAATTCGAAATTGGAACGATTGATCAAATTAATTGGGAGACGGAATGAGAAGGAATCAAAATCTTAAGTATTATTATAAAGGAGTACTCAACCTACACATAGATGTTACATATCAACGCATCGATTTAAGATATCGTTACATTGTAACAATATTTGCTTAAACTGAGACGCTGATACAAAGTGTATTCGATCCATGTAAGTTATTCTTTTATTATGAGGTTCTCCACTTTTACTAAAGTAGCTTTGGAATTGAAAAGCAATCCAAACATGCCTCTAGACAAAGCAGACTTTGATTTAGGCGGTCAAAGTATGTTTTGATCATATGAGAGAGTTTGTTTCCTCCATAATGTAGTTGCTAGTTGCAAGTTCACAGCAAAAACCTAGCAACCCAGTTTCAGCTACCGTCGCCGCCGCATCCGCCGCCGCCATCAGCACAAAAACTATGTTTTTTTCAGCGGCGCGTATTGCCCTACCTGTGTCAGTGTCAGTGCTGGTATTAATTTATCAGTACTTCAAATCTGGACGGAAATCGGAATTTTCTGAAGGCGTCGAAGTTCCCCTAAATCCGACGACGTCTGTTCCGTCACCTGCGCCGTCCGATCTTGAGCGTGAAATCCTTGATTGGATTCGGACACTCGACCCCGATATGCTCAATAAGATTAGGAATCTCGACCCTGCCTTCCTCGATGTGATTCGGAACTTCGACCCTGCTTTCTCTTCGGAAATTTCTGAAAGAGTCGACGGTCCTCTAAATCCGCCGTCTGTTTCGTCACCTGCGCCATCCGATCTCGATTCTGAAATCCTTGATTGGATTCGGGAACTCCACCCCGCCGTGCTTGATGAGCTTCAGTCTGACCCCGCCTTCCTCGATGAGATTCGGAACTTCGATCCTTCCATCATTGATCAGATTCGGATATTGAGTTTGAAGGAAAAGGAGGATAAAGAAGAAGAAGAGAAGAGGAGAAAGTGTGAAAAGGAAAAAGAAGAAGAAGAGAAGAGGAGAAAGTGTGAAAAGGAAAAAGAAGAAGAAGAGAAGAGGAGAGAGTGTGAAAAGGAAAATGAGAAGGAGAGAGAGAGGGAAAGCGGCGGCGGAGGGAATGAGAATGGCGGTGAGGTGGATAAGAAGGTTGTTGAGGAGAGTAGCAGAAGGAATCAGTACCCATTGAGGCCCGAAGCTAAAGACTGTTCGTACTATCTGAAGACTGGCAATTGTAAGTTCGGATCGAATTGCAAGTTTAATCACCCTCGGATAAGGAAAAACAAGCAGGTATATCTCTCTTGTTTCGCATTTAGCATTTGCTTATGCATGTTTATGGTTGAAAGATTGAGACTTTTCGTGTTTTCGTGGCCTCAGCTTTCGTTGGTTTAGTTGAGAAATTCATGTATGCATGTGTAGTAGTGTAAAGAATGTGTTAATCGGTTAGTTTATTATGCAACGATGATGATCTCTGTCTGCGGAATTGACTCGAAATGGAGGCACGTTTCATATTTGTTAAAGATGATGTTTTTCTTTCACGTGCATCTTTGTGGTGAAATTTGTCCGAAACAAATCGGGACTTTGGGCCTGCATTTAGTATTTGAGACATTAATGCATCTGGCCTTGTATGATTGCAGGAAGTATTTGTGTTGTTAGTGCTCACTTTGTGTTTCTTGGTGTTTTGAACTTTATCATATTGATTTGAAGGTGTCTAAGGACAAGGCAAAGCTGAGAGAAGAGTTGGAAAAGCAGCAAGACCAGGCCGAAAGCAAGGTTATTATCTATCCAAAGTTCTGGTTTTTACTGCAATTGCTTGGTTTTTATGTTTTGCACCATTAAGTTTTGTTTTACTTCGCATATTTGGTTTCAAGTACTATCTTGTGTTTTGACGATGGGGTTTTTCGATATGGTTATCTGAAAGCTAGTAGGTTAGAATGCACAAGTGAATATACAAGCTTAAACCTTTTTTATCTTGTAGTGAACTATAGAATGATGAGGGTCTTGAACGTGATCAACTTATAGTCGATGTGTTTTGGCAATTGTATGCTGTTACATTACAATCAGATTTTCCTTTTTTATACAGGATTACAATTATGTTTTTAAATGACAATGACATTTCTTTCCCTTTGTACCCTCGTATTCAAATCTGTGCAACGTTCGTGGTGGCCTAGTAACAGTTTCATGATCTTAATATAACACTTAAGCTTGTTGCAGTACTACATCAGCCCGGGACGACGTGTAGGGGTACCTTCTGTAGCTCCAGCTCTGGAACTTAACTTTTCGGGCCTGCCAATTCGTCCGGTAAGCTCTAGATTTGATCTGCAAAAATTTGAGGAATGAATAACTATCTATTCATGATGCTTAAGATTTAAGATTTTATCTTTGCTTATTCATGATGCTTAAGATTTAAGATTTTATCTTTGCTTATTTTCTTAGTCTGTTGGAGCTATTTAATGTGTCCATATGTTTGCTGAATAATTGTTTTAACGTATTACAGGGGGAGAAAGATTGTCCCTACTATATGCGAACTGGCACCTGCAAGTATGAAACAAACTGCAAGTTTAACCACCCTGATCCTACAGCTGCCGGAGAATCTCGCCCGCAATCCGCATATGGTAATGGTAGGCCTGCATCATCACAAGGTCTGCCAAAATCTCAAGACATATATTCTGAAACTACAGAATGGAATGGTTATCAGGTACTTTAGTCATCAGTCCCATATTATAGTCTTGGGTTTAAATAACTATAATCACTTTTTGATATGCGAATTACCGTATTTTTTGGGATAATAGTTGGATCTTCTTGTGTTTTGACCTCTTTTCTTTTCATTCTCATGCCTTTTTATTCATGTTCGGCTCATAAAACTAATAATATGGTCCTACATTAAGAACTTAATGTGATATTCTATTATTATTTGTAAAGAAGTTAAATTTTTGAAATTTCGAATATTGATAACAAATTGTTGTCTGCATCAGTTGTGGTAATATGCTTACGTTTTCATATCGGTACGTCTAGACTTCTTATTTGGGTTCCCTATTAGTTTGTGGGTACAAGTAAGAATAGCCCCTTTATTTTGTAGAATTTATAGAATTATTGCCTGTTTTCGTTTGCATTTTCAAAAGCATGCTTTTCTCTTTAATTTTGTATTGGCCAAAACATGTTTAGGCTCCAGCATATCTACCACATAGAGGCATGCCTGCACCTCCACCTCCGCCATATGTTATGAACAACTCAGTGACTGAAACGAACTACTACGGACAATATGCACAGCAGAAGCAAGCTGAAGAACTTCCAGAACGACCTGGGCAACCTGTTTGCTTCTATTTCGCTCAAACAGGGGATTGTATTAATAAATCTAATTGCCAATATCACCATCCAAAAAATCATACTCCAGCGACCCCCTCATGTACACTCAATGACAGGGGCCTCCCTTTAAGACCAGTAAGTTCACTCTTCTTCGAACTGTTCCTTTTATACAGAATTCGTAACTATGGATTATGATCTCAAAAAGGTTTTTCACTTTGTGATACAAGTAGCACAGAAAGTAGGTTAGTTTTAACGAAACACTTCCAGTACTGTTCACTTTAATGAAAAATAACATTTTAACTCTAAAAAGTTACTCGTGGTACTGTTCACTTTAGCAATGTACCAAGAAAATGTATATTACTGAAACTAAATTGACCTTGTGAAAGATAATTTGTAGTGAAAGTTATGGATATGTCTCTTTCAACATAGAAGGATTCTTAACTAACAGTTTCTCTCTCGCCTCTCCTATATGAAATACTCGGTTTGATCAGTTATTGTGCTTCATTATTGCATGCCATCAATTACATAAATTTTCATCCTGAATTTGTTTCCAATCCAGGGTCAGAACATTTGCACACAGTACAGCCGCTATGGCATTTGCAGTTCTGGGCCAACCTGTAGATTTGACCATCCGTCATTATCAGGTTCCTTTCTGTGACTCGGAAACAGCAAACGGGGTACGGACATCTGGAAGTAGAAGTTAAACTGATGCCACAATTCCGCAACAGCCTGAGCAATGCGTTTTGCACGAAATGCCAACTAGAGCAGTGGATTCTTGTCACCAAGGACGTGAAATCGCTTTGTTGTTGAGTCTTGGAAATGTACCAAACCTTCTCCCCTAGCTGCCACCGGCTTTTCAGATGTGAGAACTTAGTGGAAGCCGGAAATATAAATATTTCGTGTTTGATGTAATCTTACTAGAAAATACAAGTTAAATTCGGGGAGTATCCTCTCAGCTTTGCTTTGTGGTTATGGTCACTTCTCAATTGTCTTCGATTTGTTTGTTGCATAATCTTACCCAACAAAAGTGAGCAGTAAACTCCAGGTAATATATTAAATATATTTTACTCTTATTACATGATAATATATAAATATATAAAGTGATGTTCTTTGTGCCCAATTATCAAACTGAGAACCACAAAATTCTACATATATTACAAATTTTTATGTTCACCAATCTTTTTTTTTTTTTTCATTCTACATTACACACAAGTATATGTAACAAAACATATTTATATCTATATAAGGAGGGGAAGTGTGTTGTTGCGTCAGACAGTCGACAATCGGTACCTCATTTTTCCCGTTGAATCCCTATGATATAGAAAGCCAAAAGAATTAATGCATAAGTGAAAGAAAAAAAAAAAAAAAAAAAAAAAAACTCTTCTTTATATATATGAGAGATTTGGTGTTCCACATCTTTCCCGGGCACAAGAAAAATCGTCTTTAAGTTGTTTGTAGCTCCTCCCAGTCCACCCTATTATTTTTGCATTATCACCTCGTCCCCATAAGCAATTGTGGATTCGTTCAGCCACAGCAAAACCATTTCTTCTGCAATATTGCATCCGAAATAGAGTCAATGAAATTGAATGATCATTTAAAAAGCACTTACGCTTCTAAAAAAGCACTTAAAGTGCTTTTATGGCCTAAATGAAAGTGCTTTTAAACAACTCAAAGCATTTTTAGATCACCGAAAGCTTTGTCGATCATGCTTGACAAAAAAAGCTAATAGTACTTATGAGTTCAGAAAAAGCACTACAAGTGCTTTCTAGAAGCAACACCTGTTATGTGTGTTCATCATAAAGCATTTCGTAAACACTTGAAATTTTATTGAATATTTCAGTGTGCTCCTAACAGAAGAATTGCTTAAGAGCGGACATGCTTTTTTAAATAAGCATTTCCAAATGGCCTCTTTAAAACCCATAAGCACTGTTAACTTTATCTGTCAAATGTTATTAGAAGTTTGGTTATTTGAAAACGTTTTTAGCTAAGAAGCACTTCCAAACAGGCTATACAAACAGAAGCATATATAAATTTCAAATTTCATGAGCAGCTTCTCTAGGGTTTGTTACCTTTGGGGGAGGATACTTGGGATAGTGCTCATTGACAGTGTTGTATCCAGCACCATTTCTTAGGCTGCCGTCATTTTTTCGTGGGGTGACGATCTTCACTTGAGCCGCGCTGGTCTTCTTCTCATCTCTGGCCTTGTTGAAGATAACAGTAAATCCTTCAGCTGAAGCTGGGTTATTTACGTCCCATTCCCCGAACTTCGGCAGCGGCCGACCTTTATCCTGCTGAAATTTAGAAAAAACAAGCTCCCATTAGTATCTGCTACACTAAACTAGCTAGATGATCTGCCTCATCTTGATGTTTTGTTGCCTGTTAGTCGGTTATATATACACAGATGCACACGCGTGCACACATACACATATATACATCTTATGGGTCTGTAAATTTGGACGGAAAACATGGTTTTGATGATGAAACCAAATCAAAATGTCGCCACATATATCCCTCCATTCTTCACCTCCTTATTTTCTCTAACCTTCACCTTCCCTCAACATCAATCCTTCGCGTTTCTTGCATAATTGCATGTATGCGCGCCATTAAACAACTGCGTCCGGTCTTAGAATTTACTATTTATCTTGCTGATGTGCTAATCAATAAACTTAAGGAAAGAATCATGAACAAACTAGACTGTAATATTTCAATTGCAATCGAAACATGTAAGGAGTTTCACATTACGATCGGTATCATTAAATCGATTTGGGGCAATGATTTTGCGCTGAAAAGGAAAAACGAAAAGAATGGCTCGACGGAAGTTTATCCATGCATACGTTTCCAGTCATACATGATACATTGCAACGCTAGGAATTAATCATAGGAAGAACATGCATGGCCTTTAGTACATTACAAATGAAAACCTTGAATTCCTACAAAACTAAATACAACCTAAAAATATCCAATATTCTCCTTGATCTTTTCTGTCCTACGAAGTTTTCAAGAACTCACATAAGAAAATGGAAAAGAACAGAATTCGGTCAAAATATGCAAATTATATCCCAATCTGTAACCCTAAATTTCCAAACATATATACATATGTATAAAGAAAAAAGAGGGAAATTAAAGAATGAAAAAAGAAGATGAAATGGAAGAAAATGATTTACCGAAGCCATGACGGAGGAAGGCAGGAGCTGCCCGACGGGATGGTTGTGGAGGAGGAAGGAAGTTTTACAAGCAAGATAATATCGAGGGAATGGTGCAGACAGACTCTAGAGAGAGAAGAAGGTGCAATTTGTTGGGCAATTTTAGGAGACAAAATGAAGAGCCTTCTTGTTAATCTTGTTGAACCCTTTTTGTTTTCTAGAATCAAACTAAAATCGTAGATCATGTGTTGTACATATATACATATATGATGACTAGCACTATTCATATATTATATGGGACCAATAATAAACTAACCACCATGTAAATGATATTGGTGAACAGGAAAGTCGAAACAAGGATCTCAAGTGCAAGGACGAATCAAACACCTTAAAAAGATATAACTAAAAGAGAGGTACGTACTAATCAAGAAAAAAGAAAACCACACATCCTTGTCCACGTTTCACTCCAATTTTGCATTTTAAACATATCATGTCATTTTAAAGTTTTTACTTAGCATTGTGTTTTTCGCGTAAAAACCAACCACAAATGCTTCATGCTGTATATGTATTTTATGTTTTGAGACAAACCTATAAGCCGTGATTAACAAATCTGTAAGGTTGAGTCTTATCCTAGGCATTGATTGACCCTTACTTTCATCGCATCACTTCCAAGCAAGGAAGAAAATATCGGTAATATCGGAAATATCGGTAGTCCGAAAACACGGAAATATCGATGGAAATATCGGGATAATATCGATATCGATAAAAATTACATGGAAACCACGGAAATTGTAAGAAAAACTTGGAAATTTTTATTGAAACTTTGCAGGATGTTTATTTAGTCAATTATCTATTAGTTTATCACAAAAAATTGGAAGGAAATGCATTGCATGATGGATTTAACATTATCAAGTTGATTATATAGCGAGCTCACAAACATTGTGAGTGTAGAAAATATGTAGAAATTAATGAAAGAAGTCTAAACACACCATAATCATTTATATATAATGAATTAGTACAATATTTTACACTTTATACATTGCATGGTACGATACATGAGTGACTTAGTACCACATAGAGTTCCTATGAGGTTCAAAATTTTCACTATCTTCATCATCTCTATGTGTAGAGTGAGTGTATTTTGAAGAGTAGTTAGCAACCATGGCAATGGTTTTCAAGAACCAAAACCCAAAAGTCAATAAGAAACCGAATACTTCGGTATTTTCGGGATTACCAAACAAATGGGATTTGGAAACCAATCCCATATCGAAAATTTTGGTATTTTTCGGGATGGGATTCTCGAACTTCAGGATGGTTTTGGTTTGGGATTTTTCGATTTGGGTTTGGGACTTTTTCGGTTTGGTTTGGGATTTTTCGGAATTTTTTCCAGCCCTACCATGTAAGTGACCAAATAAAAAATAGAAAAATTAAAAACCACATGCCATTGACTAAGTAATTAATTGACACAATTTAAAATATAATACCACAAAAAATTTGGAAAATGTGCAAATTTGTTTCTTGTAAAAAGAATTCAAAACACAAGCATATATATAAATATTGTAGCATATTATCACAACAACATAAGTGGTATGGTGGTTAAGGCGCTAAGGAGTTAATGTGGGAGGGGTTCGAACCCCTCTGTGTTCAAAATTGTGACTTTTCAAAATTTTCAGGAATTTTTGAACAATATCGCGATATTATAACTAATATCGCGATATTATAGTTAATATCGCGATATTTTGACGAATACTCATTGGATACTCATTAAAATATCGTTAACAAAAAAAAAACAAAAATATCGACGATATTTCGCCGATATTTTGGATATTTTCTTCCATGCTTCCAAGTCACTATGTAATCTCCATTAAATTGATTAAATATTCTCTCTTTTCCAATCAATTTATTCATCCAAGCTCCACACAATTTCGGAATCTAACCAACATAAATTAATCCTTTTTTTCCAATTATTTTAATCATTTGAGCACCATAAAATTTTGCAATCTCTTATAAATCTTAACATGTGAAACGAGTTGCGTTGTACATGCATGTTAATTTTGCCAATAGTATTCGTGTTTGGATTTTCCACCTGTTGGTATTCTCTCCCGCACGTTTTTTTGTTTACGGTTAAGCAGTTAAGATTTAACCAATGAGATTAAATGATCGACCATGTTGATATCGTCCCATTAAAATAATAATAATTAACGTACATCCATCTTTCTTTGGGCCCAAAGCAAGTTCATAAGAGCAAGTCCACTCGTTTTGGGAGCGCAAGGGTATGTAAATTGTCCTCTGAAAAGTGATTGTCTTTTGAAAAGTGATTGTCTTTGTGCAGCTCCACCCCTTGCTTGGCAAAGGCTTGGGTAAAGGCAAAGGCTATTTATAAATATTTATTTTTTTATGTCTTCTAATGCGCACCTAACGCTCAAGGAAAGCAACGTCTTCCACGATTGACCAATTTGCCTTCTCACTTACTTGAGTGAGAGCCCTTCTCCCGACCCTTACTACCCAACATGAAAGCGGACAACTAATGCGGTAAAAAATGATTTGAAAAGTTGGAAACAAATATAGGAGATTATAGTACAACTAAAGATTGGGTTGTGGTGTGGTGTGGAGAATGAAGAAGATGGTTGGGTATTTATAGAATATAAGAAGAAAAAAAATAATTTCCTTTCTATATTTGCTGTTGGATTAATCCTGATTGTTGATTTCTCCAGTCATTTGAAATCAAACGCACCAAAACGTGTCACAACGGAAATTTTTTCATTTTTCTACCATTGAAAATCCAATAGTCTAGATCATTAGGCTTGGAAATCCAACGACTCGCGCCACATCCTAGAGTGGTGGGGCTCTTATGTTGGAGCTGCCCACTCTCCCCATGCACGTGTAATACACGCGCCAGACCAAAAAAAAATATCCATCATAACTAACATCATGCTGACATCAACCTTACCCACTGGCACAAGACCAAATTTAAATTGCTCGGACATTTAGGCGGGCTTTGCATGGCCCACCAGTTGCCTCTTGAATTTGGCCCGATGGAGATGCATTTGGAGGTTGAAGGGCAATTTCTAAGCCCAAGCCCGCAGCCGAAAGCGGGCCTTCCATTCAAACGCTTCTCTTTATAAACCCAAACCTTAAAAGACCTGCAAAAAAATCGAACCCTAGCCGAAACCCTAGCAGAGGAGAGCAGGAGAAGCAAAGCAAGCAGAAATGAAGTACAATCCCCGCGTCACCAGCTCCCGGCGGAAGAACCGCAAGGCTCACTTCACCGCGCCGTCCAGCGTGCGGCGGGTGCTGATGAGCGCGCCCCTCTCCACCGACCTCCGCTCCAAATACAACGTCCGATCGATGCCGGTGCGCAAGGACGACGAGGTCCAGGTCGTGCGTGGGACCTACAAGGGCCGCGAGGGCAAGGTTGTCCAGGTGTACCGTCGCAAGTGGGTCATCCACATCGAGCGGATCACCCGGGAGAAGGTGAACGGTTCCACCGTCAATGTCGGCATCAACCCCTCCAAGGTCGTCATCACCAAGCTCCGCCTCGACAAGGACCGCAAGTCTCTGCTCGACCGCAAGGCCAAGGGCCGCGCCGCCGCTGACAAGGACAAGGGCACCAAGTTCACTGCCGAGGATATCATGCAGAACGTCGATTGATTTCGATCGATTTCATTTCGGTTTGTGTTTTTGTTAGTTAAATGAAAGTAGTAACTGTCAAGTTAAGCACTTTAGTCGGAATCACTTTTAATTTGAAGTATGCGTTAACGGATTTGGTGTTTAATCGGATCTTCGATTTGAGACATGGATGGATTTGTGCTTTTTTGACATGATATATTATATTTTGGTATTCCAAGCAAAACAGTTTCGCTATATATTGATTGTTGATTGCATTTTAATTTGTTGCTTGAGTTTATTATTGCCGTATGATATGAAGTTTATGTCGAAATCAATGGATTGTTGATTGCTTTCGGATGTAATTTATATGAGTGGTTGAGAGTGCTGATTCTGCAGGTAATATTGGTCCTGTTAATGGCCTTTTAGTTAGATTTTTCGGAGCAATGCTTCTTCGACATTTTTGTTTGATGTTTTTAATTCGAAGGACTTGTTTTGGAACATTTGTTTGTGACCTAGGATATACGGGGGTGTCGGGACTCTGAATTGTGAACCAAGTTGAACTTCTCGTATTGGTATATCATTTCGCTGATTTGTCTTAGTTTGTTGTATTGTTAGGTAGATTTGGGGGATTACTTATGGGTTTAACAGAGTCATTGTCTGCTTGTTGTAGTGAGCTATATGAGAAGATGAAAGAGCTGAATCTGCATCCCGGTGTAAGCCCTACTAATTTGATTCGGACCATTTTCTTGGGCGCATTGTCTTGTGCATTTGTGATTGAGAATTAAAGTTCTGCGAACTTGTTTTGGGATTTTTGTTTGCTAAACTGAATGTACACTGTATTGGTTTCAAATTGTGAAGTTCTCATACTGATTACAGACTGATTTGTCTTGATCGTTGTCAATTTAGCGATATTGGGCGGGATACATGTGGCCTTAGTTCTTCATACAGACACCGAGTTAGAACGGGTATAAGGTTTGTAGGCTTTGGTTTGTGGCCATAGATTTTTCTTCAATGCAAGTTTTTGCCCTTCAGCTTTTGGATCATCTTTGGTTCTATGCGTTCGGATATATTTGAACTACGTTTCCGTTTGAATCCCGCTAGTGCTGAATGATGCGTTTTCTTGCTAGTCTCATGGATTCATTGAAGCATCTGTGGAATTTGATTGCAAGAAGTTTAATCTCGCGGTCTTGGGATTGAAAGTTCACTTCGTTTATTTGACCAAATTTTGTGTTTTTGCCTAACTGGTTTGTTTGGTTGTTGGCTCTTATTATTCGATGTTTTAGTTGGTCTTTGATCGCATTGCGTTCACCAAATTTTCGGTAATTTGCAGGATTTTATTAGTTCGTATTTATAGTCGAGTGATAGATCCTGCCACTCATTTCCGCACCATAAAACTTCGTCTTACATTACAAGTCGTTTAAGAGCATTCATTCTTGCCTCGTGATCCCGAGTTTGAGTCCTCCCTCTCCGAAAATCGATTATAACAAAGAGAAATGCTAAGGAGATTCTTGAAAAAGCCTCGCAAATAGATGACCGAGGGCCCTTCTAGATAGAGCCATGTTAGGTCACTTAGATCGCTTAAGCCCTTATTGCGATAGAGTCATGAACTGTGAGGTGGCAGAGTTCATAT